CTGAAATATTACTCCCTCAATAAATTGAGTAAAGAGTTAAGTAATATAATTTTTAGATAAATCAGGAAAAGAAAATATGAAAAAATTAATTGAACACCTCAATTATAAGTTTCTAAGATGGGAACTATAGCAATATAGATATGTATATGGTACGCACATATGTGATCAAGCTTATACATCTATATACATTACAACGTAGGATATGTGATTTACAAACAATATCATGTAATAATAACGCTAATCTTGTAAATACAATACTATAACTTACTCTTAGTTAACTTATAACATATTAAAATTGTATGATAAAGATTTAAATAAAGAATCCCAACGGCATTCTGTAGCGACACTGTCAAAGATCCATTTTAAAAAAAAATCCATATAATGCAATATAGCACCATGCCTCTAATATAAATATTCAAATAAAAATTGAAATTTACCATCCCAAACTGCTTGGACGGCAATTATACCTTACGCCTAAGAGCTTAGCCAATATCTAGCACTTGCCCCGTAATTATGATAAATTTTAGGATCCATAGAACTTTAATCAACAATCGGCTTATTGAAAATTCGTGGTTGTAATTATTTTCACAAAGGCAAATTGAGCAAACCCACAAATCAAAAAAACAGTTTCGACAATATAACAAAATTATCTCGCTATGTTTTTCATTTTTGTATTTCTTTGTATTTCTATTATACTTATAGTTGGTAGAATTAATGAATTATGGTATTACGATGTTTCATCAGATGGTAGAATTAATTACGGTATAGTATCTGATTGTCATAAATATTATATGTCGTAATTCCGTTATGCCTTAATGTCGTAATGCTGTGCCGTAATATTATAATACTATAGCACCTTAATACTATTAATAGTTGCACAACACAGGAATAAATAAATATATTGTAAACTTTACATTAATCAATTGGTTTAATTAAATTAAAAAAGTTCATATACCAAGTTCATAAATACATATTTGCTATGACATACAAATCATTTCATTCAGAAAGACTGAGCCATGAAATATTTAAAAAATGATGGTTTTTTCTTTGTAATTGAGTACTATTAGACTTTTAGACTTCAGGCTTTTGAACTTATGATAAATTAACTTAGCCTAAAATCTTGTAACTTATAAAATTACATATGCCAATGTTTTGACTAACAAAGTTATATGTTATGCATGGTGTCATGAGAAAATTTTTATATATTTATATTACATCTATGAGCGAGAATTTGCTAGAAAGTATAACAGATGTATCGACCGCGTAGCGACTGATACGTCTGTTATGCTTTTCTTATATTCAATCATCCAAAATATAATTATTACTTGCAATAAACATTATTAATCTTCTAATTAAGGTCTGCATTGGATGGACTATTCATGGAGAATCCATACTAACATGGACCTTTTGTGCTGGATCTGGTTTCAAAAATTCAGATCCATGTGAAAGTCCGGGTTCAAAATTTTCATGTCCAGATCAAAGAGCTCATATTCCTTGTCATTGGCTGGGCTTAAATCTAGATCTATCCAATCAAAATGGGTTGGAGTTAGATATTTGTTGGGCTAGATCTAGATTTGATATATCTAGCATATCCAGGCCTATTTAGATATTTGTTGGGCTAGATCTAGATTTGACATATCCAGCATGTCCAGGCCTATTTAGAATTACGGCATTACGGCATGGCATTACGCATTACGACATTACAACACAACATAATTCGGCATGTGTCGTAGTCTTATTAATTTGCAAATTAATTTTACCACAAACTATTATTATACTTACAACAAATCAGAAGAATAATTAGAAATAAAAGGTAAACCTCTTATGTAAAATAATTTGGATAATTTGTGAGCTTAAATCCCTAAATATAATTTGTTTTATATTGACATTATTCTGTTTTTCAAATTTATTCATGCGGCCCCCGATTGGTTGTAATGCTAGAACTTTATATTTAGATTCTATCTAGCAATTGAAAAATGACAATCAACTCTTGACTTATTAAATCAATAATAATAATTGTTGTAATAATTCTCTGAGGATCTTTGATCGAATACCTGTAATGTATTACAGTGACTAAAGAGAAAATATATCGAAAGATAAAAATTATTATGAATGTTCAAATGTATCTAGAGAAATGTCAAAAAACATCCTACTTACAATATCTGTAATAATATCCCGACTTTTCAGAGATATTATTAGTATTATTGTTATTTATTTGTCATTTATAAAAATATTTTTTATGACTTACCATTTGGCCATTGTTTTTATAATTTTTTTTTCTAATAAATGACATTGCCAATTTAAAATGAAATGATATGTTATTTATATTAATTTTCATAAAAATTTTTATGATTTTGCCATTTGCCATTGCTGATATAAATTATATACAGTATTATGAATTCTAAGAGTTTTGGATTATAGTTTCGGGATTTAGGTTTTGGTGTTTAAAAAATCCGGAACAAGTTCCTGGTTATGACCTTCCAAAACTAGTTTCGGAGAGATTTTGTTTCAGATACCAACTCTAAATTATGTCTAGGATAAATGGGTGTTGCTAAGTGAAAACCTGTAATTTCGATTTTTGCCGGCTCCTGATCCGACTCCTGATAAATTTAAATTAAGCACAACATAAATTATATGGTGTGTTAAATCACATTTTTCAGGGTTTGATCCGTCAAATTACTTTCGGAAAACTCAACTAAATTAATTGCTTATAACAATTTATTAGTAATACTATTATATTCTGAATAATTTATTGCATTCTTTCAACTTAATACAATTTGCATTATT